CAACTAACATTGATGGTTGTAATAGGAGAAAGACCAAAGGAATCTTTTAACCTGGCCATTAATACAGTAAACCACAGTCATTATTTGTAATTAATGCCTATCCCCACTTGTGGGTAGCTACGCAACGACGCAATCCGTAGTTGCGGTAAGGCATGTATCTAACTGCCGTACTTAAGAATAGTTTAAATAGACTGAGAGCGGTTCAATAGGCTTCTTTATTACAACATTTTCTAATGTACGCAATAACATTACTTGCCATATATTTCTGCAATATGGCGAGGGTTTTAATAGTCCTGGTCAGTGTATAAATGGTATCACCCTTAGAGACACATAGTGAACACTTATCGACGCTTGACTCTGCATCTAGGACCACTATATTTCGTGTGGTTACAGGAGCACAACAACAAGCGGCCTCTGGTGCTTGTCCGTGCGCCGCGCGAACACGATCTCGTGCTGGAGATGGATTCAGCCGCGTCGCGCCGCAAGTTCCTTCTCAAGCTCGACACATTCCTCGCACAGCATAAGAAGGCTATGAATCTTACACAGGTACTTTATATAAAGGATTCTAAAGAATATAGTAACACCTATTTACAGCCCCTGCGTATGCGCTCTCTTGAAACGTGGTGATAATGTGAACATAAACTTTGATGTTCTGTACTTAATACAGTTTGAGAAAATGGTTGTGTCTTATCTTATCTAATCTTATAGTGTTTTTTTTTTAATCTGATCATTTTGCAGGGACACCGAGATCAAATATTGGCATCAGCTGAAACAAGAGAAAGGAGACAACGCAAGTTAGAGCACTTCTTCAGAGAGGCGTATGCTATCACGTTCGGTCTAGCCCCGGGTGAGAAGAGACGGCGTTCAGAAGATGCTGATCCCGAAGTAATTTAATACTTTCATTTTTAGTTTATATGTATAATGTACCCATACATTGTACAACAAGACTTTATAATATTTTTATAAATATTTTGTTGTTATTTTCAGTCTATCGTGATGAGGACCTCGTTATCTAAAAGTGAATTCGCGAGCGCTCTCGGCATGAAACCTGATGCAGTATTCGTGAAGAAGATGTTTAACATTGTGGATAAAGATGGCGACGGCAGAATATCATTCCAGGTATTTTTCTTTATTTTGGCTTATAAATGTCTATGATACGAAACGACTTTCAATACAGTTCCTTGTGTTTACTTCTTGATAAGACGATTGATGACAGTGCTGTAAATATTTTGCTATTATTACAGGAATTCCTAGACACTGTAGTGCTATTCTCGCGTGGCGCTACGGAGGACAAGTTGCGTATAATATTCGACATGTGCGACAACGACCGCAATGGCGTCATCGACAAGGGAGAGCTGAGTGAGATGTTGCGCTCGCTGGTCGAGATCGCAAGAACCACTTCGCTGCGGGATGAACATGTTACCGAATTGATCGATGGAATGTTCTCCGTAAGTTTGTATTGCCATATCTCATATTTATCTAGAAAACATAACATAATAAAGATATGATTTAACTGATAACAGTTCTATCTAAAAAAATACAAATCTAAAAATAACCTTAACCTTTATAGGTTTACCTTTATAGGTATTTTTTCACGATTTTAACGTAGGCACAAGAAAAAATTGGTTAAACTTGACAAACGTACATGGCTTGTGTAATTTCGTAATGGCTCAAAAAACCCGAATTTTTTAATATGCTTCTGTCATTTCAGGATGCCGGGCTTCAACACAAAGACCATCTGACGTATTCCGATTTCAAAGTAATGATGAAGGAATACAAAGGGGAATTTGTTGCCATCGGACTGGATTGTAAGGGAGCGAAGCAAAACTTTTTAGATACATCAACTAATGTCGCGAGAATGACCAGCTTCCATATTGAGCCTTCCATGGAGCAGACTCGGTAAGATTCAAATATGTTTTTAAAAAAATCTTTAATCTTTTATCTTTAATTTCTTTGATGGATTGTCTTAAAATTTTATTAGAGAAAATAATACTACTAGAAAGTAGAAACTGATATACTCATTCACACTATTTCATTTCAGACATTGGTTGCTCTTGAAATGGGACTACCTAACAACATTCTTGGAAGAGAACAGACAGAACATATTCTATCTATTTGTATTCTACGTGGTGACTATTGGTCTTTTCGTGGAGAGATTTGCTCATTATTCATTTATGTCGGAGCATTTGGATCTGAGGCACATCATGGGCGTTGGTATCGCGATAACAAGAGGATCCGCTGCATCGCTTTCCTTCTGCTATAGCTTATTACTTCTTACTATGTCCAGAAACCTCTTGACTAAATTAAAGGTCTGTATAAGACACTAGATTATTAATATCAATTAATACTTAAGCTATTTTTTAAAAAACCCTGAATTTTCTAGGAATTCAGCATTCAGCAGTACATACCTCTGGATTCCAGCATACAATTCCACAAGATTGTGGCTTGCACCGCGCTATTCTTCTCTCTCCTTCACACAGCTGGTCACATGGTCAACTTCTACCATGTGTCCACACAGCCCGTAGAGAACCTCAAATGCATGACTAAAGAAGTTCACTTCACCTCCGATTTCCGACCTGGTATTACGTACTGGGTGTTCCAAACAATAACAGGTTAGTATTCATTGCTATAAATAAAATTACTCAAAGTTACGATTGTTAATAATTAAAAAATAATAATAAATCATGAAGACCTTTAAACACATATATGTATCTTTTAAAACTTAAAAACAAATCATGTACGCCAATTTTCTGCCTCACCCATATGTTGAAGAAGAACATTTAAATCAGTCTGATCATTTTCCTTTCATTCCAGGTACAACCGGTGTTCTCCTCTTCATCATAATGTGTATCATATTCGTGTTTGCTCATCCTGTAATCCGAAAGAGGGCGTACCCGTGGTTCTGGCGCGCGCACTCGTTGTATATCGTATTATATGCACTATGTCTCGTACACGGTCTCGCACGACTCACTGGAGCACCGCGTTTCTGGATTTTCTTCCTCGGTCCTGCTATCATCTATACTTTGGACAAGGTATCTAACATTCACATTATCGAGAAGAATTCGCTTTATTTTAAGTTATTAACAGACTATGTCAACGACGGATCCACGAAATTTAAGTCTAGAATCGTTTATATCTACTTATTTTGTGACTGACATCTTTAGATATTAAAGGTATTTGTAACTCTGCCTGTAATTAATTGCAGGTCGTTTCACTGCGGACAGAATATTTAGCGTTAGACGTCCTGGAAACTGAAATGTTACCATCTGATGTCATCAAAATAAAATTCTACAGGCCGCCTAATCTTAAATATTTGTCAGGTAAATTCTTCAACCTTCCCTCATTTATTTTCAATTGTTTCTGTTGTTACTTCTATAACTTTCTATAGGTCAGTGGGTACGACTCTCTTGCACCGCGTTTAAAAAAGAAGAATACCATTCCTTTACTTTAACATCTGCGCCGCATGAGAACTTCTTGTCGTGTCATATCAAAGCTCAAGGACCTTGGACGTGGAAACTGAGAAATTATTTCGACCCTTGTAACTATAACCCTGAAACGCAACCAAAAATAAGGTAAAACATTCCTAACATTCCTTAGAATTAGTCTTAGTAAGACCACTGTGTAGTTTTTGGATTCTGCTTGAGTAACTAATAAATAAAGAGATAATAGTACTACATAAGTGTATATTTTATAATTGTTTAGAATCCAAGGTCCATTCGGCGGTGGCAATCAGGATTGGTACAAGTTCGAGGTAGCAGTGATGGTGGGTGGCGGTATCGGCGTCACACCTTACGCCTCCATCCTTAATGACCTGGTCTTCGGCACGTCTACCAACAGATACTCAGGAGTCGCCTGTAAAAAGGTATGGCGAATCTGCTATTCCGAAACTCACTTAGAAGACAAAGAGATATGTCTAATTCCTAAAAAAACACATTCTTCTGTGTGCCATTAGGTGTACTTCCTATGGATCTGTCCGTCCCATAAGCACTTCGAGTGGTTCATCGACGTGCTGCGTGATGTGGAGCGCAAGGATGTCACCAACGTGCTCGAGATACATATCTTCATCACGC